TATATATATATATATATATATATATATATATATATTATATATTCCTATACATATATATATATATATATATATATATATATATATATATATATATATATATATATACTGAAAGAATACAATTCGTGACGACTAAATTCTACAGCGAACTATACAAAGCCCCTGACACACTCGAAGAAGTAATCAGTATCAGTAAAAGTCCTTCCGGAAGAAGTAGTATTGTCAATTACAAAAATGGAAAGCGGTAAAGTACCTGGGATAGATGGCATGGTAAATACTGGAACTGTTTAATTACGATGACAATAAAACCTGAAAAGTCTTAGCCAGCATCTTTACGAACTGCCTAAGATCAAGATGCATATCAGACCACTGGAATACAACAAACTATAACTCTCATTCATAAGAAAGGTAGCAAAAGAGGATATCAAAAACTACAGACCTCTAAGTCTATTACCATACTATATACAGGATATTCACAAAGATCATCAACAACAGATAAATAAACGCATTAGATGCTACACAGCCCAGAAAGCAAGCTGGTTTCAGAAGTGGATTCAGTACTATGGATCATATTTATACACTTCGAGAACTAATGAGTAGAGCTGAAGAATATGAAATACCGCTAGCATTAACCTTCATAGATTTCGAGAAGGCTTTCGTTTCTATATATTCCAAGGCAGTAACAGAAGCTTTGACCAACCAAAACATTGAAATACCGTACATAGAAACCGTATAGAAAAAACCGTATAGAAAATTTTATATCTATACAGACAAGCAAAAGCTAAGGTAAACATTTATGAAAACACTCCAGAATGGGCATAAATGAAGAATAAATATGTGTAAGGGAGGCTGTGCCACATGGCTGCATCATATTCGGTAGAATATAATGAGAATGATACGTTCAATCCGGAACAGGCCGATTATCACTACGCCGAGCTTTCGACATCCTCTTTGATGTTTTCTTCAGGGCTTTTGAGGTCTCAGTCTCCAGAGCCCCCAGACACTACTACACTGATCAATAAGCAAATCATTACTAATAGTCAATTAGTCAATTAGCAAGTCATTAAAAAAAGCATGTGGCTCCACACTAGTTTGTTTTAAATTTTCTGTGTATTCAGTCATTTGGTCTACTTTAACTTTTTTAAAATAACATAGACGAAGACATAAAACAACTAAACCATTATATAGTTTTGTCTGCAGAGGAGTGTATCGGCAAATAAAACCTTAACCCAATAAAAAAACACGTTCCCTGGTGGAATGACAGCAAAAGAGCTTTAAACAGATTCCGAAAATCTCCCACTCATAACTGACTTAATAGATTTCAAAAGGCTCAGAGCAAAAACAAAACGCATAATAAAAAACAGTAAACGAAATTGACGCTACTCAAAAAACTTGCAGTACTAATCAAGAACTAAACGATGCCATTTTTTTAACAAAAAGCTCAGCTTCAGGCCCTGACGTTATTCACTCTATATTTTTAAAAAACCTTCACCAAAATACATACGATAAAATACTCCAACTGTTCAACAACATTTGATCTTCCCAACAATTCCCATCACTATAAAAACAATCCCTAACGATCCCTATCAAAAAAGGTGATCAATCCCTAGACACGCTAAACTCATACAAGACAATCTCTCTCACCTGTACGTTATGTAAACGTCTAGAAAAAATTGTTAAGAAAAGATTACTTTGGTAGCTTGAACAAAATAAAATCCTCGACCAATTTCAATCAGGATAAACCAAATCGATGCAACGTGGACAATCTTGTACTTCTGCAATCAACAATTGCGACTGAACTATCTAACAAAAATAAAATCATTGCAATCTCCCTTGACATCGAAAGCCCTTTTGACTCCATTCCAATGTCTGTGATACTAAACAAACTAAACCAGAACAAGCTATCCGGTAATATATATTCGTTTATAAGATTTTTCTCACTGAGCGATCTTTTAAAGTAATAAAATTACTAATGCAAAACTTCCCCACAACACTCAACCACAAACGGTATCCCAAAAGAGTCTGTCCTAAACAGCACACTATTTCTCCTTAGTATTAACGATTTTAGTTCATTCATAAACGACCCTGTTCAATACGGAATATATGCTGACGACATAATATTCTGTCATGGAAAGGTTACATCCAGCACAAATACTTTACTACAAACACCCTAAGCAAAATAAACAGCTGGGCCAGTTCATTCGGCTTTAACTTCTCCCCATTCAAATCCAAAGTTATTCATTTAACCAGAAGACAAAACACGCAACCTCCAACCATTACTTTGAATGAAATTTTCTCCAAGTACTAGACAAAGTAAAGCTTCTCGGCATTATTTTCGATAATAAACTTTCCTGGAGACCACACATTCGAGAACTTAAGGGTAACTGCCTTCAAAGAATGAATCTTCTTAAATCACTAGCTCATTATAGTTGGGGAGCTGATGACGAAACACTACTAAAAATATATCGAGCTCTTATCCGCTAAAAACTTGACTATGGTAGTGTTCTCTACATGTCATCAAGTAAATTACTATTACATTCACTAAATGTAGTCCAAAATACCTCATTTCGACTATGTTTAGGAGCATTCCGATCCAGTCCGGTGGAAAGTATTCATGTAGAATGTTTCGAACCTCCGCTTCATCTAAGACGACAACAATTTCTACTGCTCTATTTCGCTAGAGTTTCTTACAAACCCCACAAGAAACCTCATCTGTAACAGACAATTAGCAGTAACTAATAATCCTAGAATGGTACCGTCCACTATACAGATGTTAATTCCTTATTTAGATATCAATTTGTTGTCTACCAGCCCTTTCGTCGTCACTCAAACTCCTCTATGGATATGTAAACTTCCAAATTTCAATATCGAATTATCCAAATACAACATCGATGCACCTTCGATAAGATCCTTTACTCAGACGCATCCAAGACTGAAGAAGGTGTTGGGTATGCTGTTACAACGACTAAAACTACCGTCAACTTGTTTCGACTCTCCAGCAATTGCAGTATTTATACTGCTGAACTTTATGGAATACTACAAGCGGTGAAAACTCCACTCAACGATGATAAAACTATAGCAATCTGTACGAATTCTCTGTCCTCCATGCAGTTAATAAGAAACGTACAATCTATCCACCCATCATTCCTCAACCTCTTGCATCCACTGTTGGATATAGGTCTCCTCCATGTTCTTCCACTGTTCTCTATCTTGCGCCTTCTGTATCCAATTTCCGACTGTTTTTTTCAAGTCGTTCATACATCTTTTTGGTGGTCTGCCTCGGTGTCTTTTGTCTTCTCTAGGTCTCCATTCTATGAGTCTTTTGGTCCACCTAATCATTTAAACGTGCTATATGTCTAGCCCATCTCCATTTGGTTTGTGCAATTTTTTCTATGACATCTGTCACTTTAGTCCTCTCTCTCACTATCCTATTTGGTACCATATCTCTTCTAGTTATTCCCAACATTGCTCTTTTCATTTTTCTTTGGGTTACTCTCAATTTATTTGCAGAATGTTTGGTTAAAGTTATTGTTTCGGAACCATATGTTATTACTGGCAGTATGCATTGGTAGTAAACCTTTTTCTTCAAGCAAATCGGTAGCGTTCCTTTTAGAATATCTCGCATCTTGCCAAATGCTGCCCATCCCAAGCCTATGCGACGCTGGTTCTCACAAGTTTGATTGTCTTTTCCTATTCTAATTTCATGCCCTAAATAGATATAGCTAAAGACCTGATGTACTTCGTTCCCATCTACCCTCATAACATCACTTGGAACTAAATTGGTCATGTATTTTGTTTTTTCAAAGTTTATGTTCAGGCCTATTTGTTCTACCGAATAGTTCAAGAAATCTAGGGTATATATAATCGTCTTCAAACTAATAGAATTACAGTAACAATATTATGGGTCCCATCATGCGTTGGTATTCTAGGTAACGAAAAAGCCGATCAAGCAGCAAAACAAGCATGTTCTCATAACGTAACAACAGACATTCAAACATCATCAGATCTAAAAGAACATTCAAACATAAAATAATGGACCTTTGAAATGATCATTGGAAAAGAAGCAATACCAAGTTAAGCGTTCTACAACCTAACATGTTCTACCACCAGCTCCCACCAATTAAAAGAAAGGACAAATCTATCATTCGAAGATTGAGAATAGGGCACACTCGCCTTACACATGGACACCTAACGAATTCCAGTAATCAGATTTTGTGCCAGTACTGCAACACTACGATTTCGTAACACATGTACTTCTTGACTGTTAACACTACCTAGCGGCCAGAAGAAAACACAACCTTGGTAACAACGTAAAAGACATACTTATCTCAAAACAGCAGCAACTATGAAAATGTATTTAACTTTTTAAAAAACAAAAAGTTATACAATTTAATTTAAAACAAAATGTATTATAAAAAATGTATTGTAGCTAATTTGTACCCAATGTAAACTATTAACCATGTAAACATGAATGAAAATTGTACCTGTGTCAATAACCATTAGCTGTCGAGACACATATTTTCGAAATAAAAACAAATACTTTTCTTTTCAATTCATGCATTCATAATTGTGTACAAAACATATCAGTCTTTTGCATTTAAAGAACATAAACGACAAGTATGGGAAAATAAAATGCTACGAAAAATTTACTGAAGGAAAAAATAGGAGAAATATGGAGGAAACTGGAAACTATGGAAATATATAATAGCCCGACTATACCGCCGCAGATAAAGAAGCAAATAATTAGTTGGCTAAGATACGTACAGAGAACAAACCATCAAATTACGTATGGTAGAAGACACTAACAGGTAAAAGAAGAAAAGAAAGATCCGAAGAAAATTGTTAGACACCGTAGAAGATCTAAACGTGAAAGAATGTGAAACCTACGGACAAGAGAAGATGGAAAAAATTGTCATCCAAAACTTAGGCTTTTGAGGTCTCTTGAGCGGAAATATATTTCATTCGAATTTTTCATCTCAATACTTTTATGTATATATACTTACACATCTAGAGCATTTATCTTTTTTTCCTCAACATCACCCTTTTTCGTTTCCATATCTAAAAGAAATGCATAAATCAATATTACTTTCAAATCACGTACATATTATTTAGACGGGAATAATTACTACAACCTTAACAGTTTTTATACCGAGTAGTAAAAGGCCAAAAAAAAAATAAATAGAAAAGTAGCAAGATTATTTAATCCTAGACAAGCAGGGACTCTGATAGATAGCCAAGATAGAATCACGACATGATGGATCAAGACATATCAAAATAACATCTAATTATGTTCAAGACTCAGTATTTTTATCTTCTTCTTCTTCTAGTTTCATGACCGTTATCGATCGTTGGATATCATGTTGGCTACCATATTCGCTATCGTGACTTTATTGACAGCAACTCTAAATAACAATGTAGTTGATTTTCCATACCATTGCCTTAGATTTTTCAGCCATGATGTTCTTCGTCTACCAGGACCACGATTACCTTGGATCTTTCCTTGAATGATCAGATGTAAAAGATCATATTTTTCAGGGTGTCTCATAATGTGACCGAAGTATTCCAGCTTGCGTTTCTTTATTATATTGACCAGTTGTGTTGTTTGGCTCAGCCGTCTAAGGACCTCCTCATTTCTAACTCTGTCGACCCAGTTTATTTTCAGTAGTCGTCCGTATACCCACATCTCAAAGGCTGTCAAGCGTTTAAGCATAGCCTCAGTTAGGGTCCAAGCTTCTACTCCATACAGCAGGACAGGAAAGATGTAGCAAGATATCATACGAACTCTAAGGTCAATGCTAAGATCGTGACTGCAAAGTACGTTTCTCATTTTTACAAAGGCAGTTCGGGCTTGTTCTATTCGGCTTTTAATTTCTGCGGTTGGATCCCAGCTCTCATTGATATTACTGCCGAGATACACAAGTTTCTCTACTCTGTCCAGTGTGGCATCTCCGACTTTTATACCGTCATCATGTATATAATGTTGTTTACTAACTATCATATATTTAGTTTTCTTAACGTTGAGTTTTAATCCATACTGATCACAAGTCTGTTTTATTTTGTTCATTAGATTTTGAAGGTCTTCTCCGCAATTGACAAGGACTAAGGTATCGTCGGCATATCTAATATTGTTGACGGTTACTCCATTCACAATAATACCTTCGGTTGTCTCCATTAAGGCTTCCTTAAATATTTCCTCCGAATATAAGTTAAAAAGTAAAGGCGACAATATACAGCCTTGTCTCACTCCTCTTTTTATATTTATTTCATCCGACAGTTCTTGTTCAACCTTTATTCTTGCCACTTGATGCCAGTATAGATTTATAATTATTTGTAGATCTTTATCGTCCAATCCAGCTGTTTCCAATATTTCTAGCATTTTGTTATGTCGGACTTTGTCAAAAGCTTTTTCAAAATCGATTGCACAAATGTACACATTTTGATTTATATCTTTGCAGCTCTGTACTAGCACCTGCATAATAAACAAGGCTTCTCTTGTACCCAAGCCACTCCTAAACCCAAATTGAGTATTGCTAATTCTGTCGTCTAACAGCGTGTAAATTCTGCTGTGTATTACTCGCAGGAAGATCTTCAAAACGTGACTCATCAGACTTATTGTCCGATAATCACCGCATGTCTTTGGACGATGTTTCTTAGTGACAAATGTCGACTTTAACCAATCAGTTGGTAATATCCCAGTGTCATAAATTCTGTTAAAGAGATTACACAGAGCTTTAATTCCATTTTCTCTCAAAAACTTTAGTATTTCAGCACTTACTTCATCGGGGCCAAGTGCTTTTCCATTTTTTGCCGTTTGTGTTGAATGTCTTACCTCACTGTCTGTTATAGATGGACCTGATATAGCAATCGGTGTATAATGTTCTACTCTCTCATCTTCAAATAATTCAGAAATGTAGTTTTCCCATTCTTTTAACTTTTCATTGATGTCTAATATTCTGTGTCCGTTTCTGTCTTCTAAACTTTGGGATACTTGTTTCCGTTTGTTTCCAGCGACCTCTTTTAATTTGTTGTGCAGACGAAATGTATCGTGTTTCTTTTCATATTGTTCAATTTCATTACATTTTTTACTATGAAATTGTGTTTTCGCGTGTCTTATCTTCTGCCTGATTATTGCGTGGATTCTCTTGTATTCGTTTTTATCTTTATTTCTGACCTCTCCTTTGATCCATAAGTCTCAGTATTTCTTCTGTCATCCACCCTTGTTTTTTCTTGCTTTTAGCGCACTCAATTTTGTTTCTTGAATAGTCTTTAAGATGTCTTTAATTCTCGTCCAGTTTTCCTCAGTACTTTCTTCTTTGCCTGATGTTAACTTCATTTTTTGTTCTAATATACTAGTTATTTCTTGTTTTACAGTATCATTTAGCATCGTTTCTCTATCAATAGTAACTGTTTGCTTATTCGTACTTACAACTCTTTTTAATCTCAATCTTATTTTTCCTACTAAAATATTGTGATCTGTTGATACATCTGCGCCTGGATTTTTGTCTAACATAAGGAAAAATACACAGAAGCTGTAACGAGCATCCCTTAAACATCTAGGCCTAATTCTTGACTTGGGTCAAAAAAATGTTTTAAAAAGATAATGGGTACAAAATAAATATTTTGGATTTCGTAGAGGTTTTGAAACAAGAGAACTTATGTTAAGTATTTAATTTAGTCTTAGTGCAGAGATCTCATGATGTATTAGTACCAATGCATGCCTCTTTAATAAACCATAAAAAAGGTTATGATCAGGTATTATACTAACAACTATTTTTCTTCGTCTTTCATTGCCATATTAGGCGTTTATTAACCTTCATAATTACATTAATTACATTTGTCCTTTTGTATGTCTTTTCGTTTTCGCTATCTTTTCTATATTATCCTTTATAAATGTCCAAGTTTGACAGTTGTATGTAACAAAAGGTAGAGTACGTTTCAGCTGTAGTGGCAGAAATTACTAGGAACAATAAAGCCTCACCAAACCAAGCAGTGGCGTTCCAAAAAATACTTATGATTTAAATCAAATTATCAAATAATATCAGATTATATTTTTGGCAATATTGTACTACATTTTAATACATATTATTATAATATATCACATACATTTTGTCTGTATGTGAAACCATAGATACATATTACAGATTACAGTATTAATAAATATTAATTACAAAGATTGTTTTAAATATTAAACCTTTATTATTTATATTATTACTCACTTAAACGTCGCAAAGTTAAACAGAAGAATATACAAAATGATTGTAATAAAGAAAAAATAATAATACATACATACAGGATAGTTTGGAAAACTTATCGTCACATAGGTTACGTAGGTACATCGTAATGTTTAATTATTTTATTCACTTTCATAATCAGATGCACTGTCGTCGTCACTAGAATCATTTAAATCAATCGTTAATTCTTCAGTAATTACATCTATGCGACGTTCACTTTCTAAATACTTATCCTCAACCTTGACAACAAGTTCACACACTTTTTTCCAGTTTCCAGTTATCTATAGTTACTCTAGCTTCTAGCAAATTCCTGTTCCACCAACACTTTTACGTCTTCTAACTTAATTATTTTAATTTTTCTAATTACGTTTTGTTTTGCAACTTCATTGTTTATTTGCGGCCAAACCATTTCTATAGGGTTCAAGTCTGGATGATATGGCGGAACTTTTAAAAAAACATGTCCACATTCTTGCAGCACTTTGTCAAATTTATATTAAATATGATCTTGTTTGTGTCGTTTGATGATTTCATAGAATTGCGGTTTTAACATTGACGTTACAAATAGTAAATTTTTTTCTGTCAACCAAGATATCATATTCATTTTTTTATAATTACTGGTGGGTGCTTTATTGTACATTATGATATGACGCATAATCAGTAACAACAATAGATCCAACAAGCAAATTGGGGATTAACTGTTCTTTCATCCATTTTTCATAATTTTCTGAATTTATATCATCATGATAGTCTTCTGTCTTGGCTCCTGACTTAAAAATCAAAAGAGAATTCTGTATAAACCCATCTCCCTACCACCATCTCCGATAACTAACCTACTTCCTTTTGAAATGTTTTTGAACAATCCTTTGTCACTGTCATCTGTCCAGTTATTTGGCGTAGTGTATCCTGCATGTACATAAGTTTCATCAACATATATACATTTGACTTACCTTCGCTTCTGTAATATTTAATTTTGTCCAAATATTTATTGCGTAGAGCATTTAATTAATAAATGTCGATTATCTTTCGTTTTCTTCCATTTAAATCCCATATCTTTCACAATTCTGTAGAGAGAACTTACACTTCCAGTCCACTCGTACACTTCTTTAAGCCTTTTCTGCAAAAGCTTCAATGATACACGACAAGGTTCAGTCTCATGAAAACGATGAATGGTATTTCTAATGAACTGTTTGTCATACTCCCTTAAGTCTGTCACGGTTGTTTTCCTTTTAGCAATTGTTGTAGCTAAAAATTTTATTGTATTATTTGACTCTGCGTTTGTTTACTCGTACTTCACTTAACCATCTCAATTTTGCAAAATAGTTCTAATACGCGTGGTAGCACCTTTCTTGTTGAGACTCGACAACATAATGAGATTAAATTACGAACTCGTTCGAAATTCAGTGACTAGAAATTCTCGAAAATAATTCTTATGAATTCTTTGTATGTTCTTAACGAGTCGTTATAAGGAGTTATTAATAATGACTTTTTAATTACGGTTTTAATTTTACTGATACTAAATTAGAAATTAGAAATTAACTTTTACCAAACTTTATAGAGTATCAATTATTAAAGATGGTATTATAACAAACAAAAAGTTTGGTATCTATAAATCAATCTGTGTACATTCAAACTCCATTTATTATTTAAGTGAGTAATAATTTTATAATTGGTGCGATTTCAAATAATTTAATTTGTTTAATATTGCAAAGCCACTGCATGGGTCTGATCATAGATATTCTATTGTCTGTGCGATTAACTATTATGTAGAAGGGCTCGCCACTCGATTTGAAATAAGCTGTACTACACACTACACGCTGATAGAAAATACTCGCTTTTAGGTATTGGGGTATTTTTTGATCTTCAATATATAAGAGAGTTTACTTTTAATTTCCTTCCTCTGATTTTCCTTTTTTACTTTTGTGATAGATTTGCACAGATATATAGTATCTCTACATACCATTCAAGATTTGCAGTAATTAATTCAATTAGTAATTTAATTTTTGGTGAATCACATGAAATATAGAAATTTGCTTAAATAAAACTCAAGGCAATTCAACGTGTTGTAAATTAGTAAAATTAGATATTTTGTGGAAGCTGTGAGACACGATATTATGATGGACGTCATCATGGGTTGGTTTTCTTTAGTTTTATGAGCACTTCTGGTAAACATGTGGTGGATTTTGTGTACCATTTAGAAATAGGAAGTCTATTATTTTTATCTTTTTTTCTTCATTGGTTTCAAAAGTTAAATATTATTTCATTAACTTACCCACTCATTAAAAAAATAACTATAACCAGTAAAAACAACTAAATTAACAAAAATGATGGAGCACCTTTTCACATAATGAATATCATATAACTAATTAGGTACTTTAAGTGAGTACCAATATATGTGACAATACAGTATTTCGTTTTGTAACCAAAACATTTTTACATGAATATTTTTTTATCTTCAGTTATCAATGGTAAAGGTATGTAGATTATAAAAGTATTTTTTATCAGATTAATAATAAATAAGGTTGTTTTATTTATATCAAGACGCTTTAAAAACATCTGTACTGTACGATATTTTCCTCACTGTAAATAACAGATGGCTTAATCAATGAAATTCTATTAAAATCCTAGTGAATGTGGTTGGTCTAGAAAAATGATAAGAAATTATGTTATTAAATGAAGGGCAACTTTCCATTCCGTTTCCAATTTTTTTTTCTAAAAATGAACAAGTGTTTAATCTTAATCTTTTATTAAAAATCTACCGTCAAATGACACAATTATTCGATTAGTCAAGCTCGTAGAAGAGATAAGGTATTTTATCTTAACAGATCTCGGTATAAGATCAGTTTGAGGGTATAGAGCAGTGGTTCCCAAAGTTTTTAGTTCGCAGCGCAATTAATAAACTAGAATTTTTTCGCGGCGCCCTGAGTCAAAATATTGATTTAACGTCTAACTTTAACTGTAGTTAATACGGTTTCTGTTGCAGTTGATATGGTTGGGTTAATTTAATAATAATGAAACATACTTTAAATTCACAAACAATTTATTGAATAAATAATTACAGTAATTAATGGGATAAATGAGCTTGTTCTTGTTCATTACACGACTTTTCAAATCTCGGAATCAAACTGGACACAGCTACCCTCATTTCTTGTTCCACGTTAATTTTCTCACGGTATTTACTTTTTATTACAGCGAACGCCGAAAACCCAGCTTCACACAAATAGGATGTTGCAAATGGAATTAAGATACGCAGAGCTTTACCACTCAGCAGCGGATATTCATCTTTTACTGATATCCAAAAATCAGTTAGTTCCGTGCAGCCAAACTTTGTCTTCAACGTATTCTCGCAAGCCAAATCAATGAGATTTTCTTGTTCTAAAGAAGTTCATTCAGAAGGAGCTTCCGCTCTAAATGGATCTTGAATCCATGCAAACTGGTCGATATTATCAGCTTGAAAGTATTTTTGGAACCATTTGATAAGCTCTGATAAGTGATCCGCAAAAATAGATTTAATATTGCAAGAGATATTAACTTCATTGGAGATAATAAACTCCTGCAACAAGGGACAACAATCATTGATATTACTATCATTAATTTTGCTCTTCCATACTTTTAATTTTTTTCTGAAAGCTGAAATCTTCTCCGCCAATTTTAAAATGTGCGTGTTGCGGTCTTGCAGGGAGAGATTCAACGCATTTAACTGTTCAAAGATATCACATAAGTATGCTAGTTGAATAAAAAAATCCGTTTCTACAAAGTACTTGGCATACTGGTGTTTTTCTTCTTCAAGAAAAATGTACATTTCTTGCCGTAATTGGAACGTACGAGACAAAACATTACCACGAGAGAGCCATCGTGAGTGGCAGTAGTATAACAGAGACGTGTGTTCTGCACCCATATCCTCACACATTTTTTTGAAAAACCTTGCTTTCATTGGCCTAGTTTTTATATAATTTACCACAGTTATCACACGTTCTAAGACCAAATTTAGTGAAGGACTCAGATTCTATGATGCAAGTGCTTCTCTATGAATGATGCAATAGGTCCATACTGAATCCGGAGCTTTGTTTCGAACAAGCGCCTGTAATCCTCCATAACGGCTAGACATTGAACGACCACCTTCAGTGCAAACACCAACGCACTTTGTCCACTCCAAATTGTTTTCAACCACAAATGTATTCACTGTTAAGAATTAAGGATACCATAGATAAATAATATATAATTAGGAAACGTTAAGATACTACCCAGTTGTACTACTACGCCTGTTTTGTGCGTAAGTGTTTTCCGATGTTGCCGTTTCCGACAGAGTATATTTCCGAGTCCGAGATATTTCGATTTTTATCAAATTAGTTATTAACACTCGGTTGACACTGACACTATTACATTATATAGTATTTATAAAGTCAGTTGAAACACCCAAAAACCTGCTTCAGAAGAAACAATTCGAAACAGACATATTAACACTCAGATAAGTTAAGAAATTATAAAGCCAGTGTAAGACCAATAGTGCGATATGCCTCAGAAACAAGACCCAACACGACCAAAACACAAAGGCTACTAAAAACGGTAGAGATGAGAGTACTGAGAAGAATTATAAGAAATACGCTGAGGGATCGAAAGAGAAGTGAAGACATTAGAAGAAAATGTAACGTACTGTGTATAAATGAATGCGCATTAAATAGAACAAAAGAATGGAATAACCACATAAGTAGAATGGAGTGATAACCTCCCATATGGGTATTAATACACCAATTGAACAAGCAGAATTGCTTATAAGTACAGTAAATTCAACTTCAAACTACGGACGATGGAAACAAATGCACGCTGGAAACACGCGTTTGTTCAGGGCCGGACTAGTAAATTAAAGCTGCAATACAAAACCTTATATAATTTGTAGACGTCTGACAGGTACAGATTATAGTACACCAATTTTTTAAATATAAAAATGATTTACAAAGTCGAGAGTTATTAACAACAAAATAAAGTATACAAAAAAAAAGTTTATAAAATTACCGTATTTTATCTTAACTTTCAGAATCTGATGTACTACTGTCATCATTAAAGTTGATAATGATAGGCTCAATTTGTGTCTCAATTAAATTGTCCAACTCCCACATTTTTGGCTCCACTTCTTCTTTTACATGTTTGACGCAGTTTTTCCACTTTTCCATGGTTACAGCAGACATAGCTTCTTGGAATAAATTTTTAATGTCAGCAAATTTAAATGTTGTGTTATGCCATGCTACATAATTCTTGACTTCCGCCCATACAAGCTCGATTGGATTAAGCTCGCAGTGATACGGTGGCAACCTTAAAACTATTCTATTTGTGCTTCTTACCAGTTCATCTACTATGTACTTATTATATTAGCCTTTATGTTGTTTAACGATTTCTAAAAGTTGCACCTTTAACATTGTTTCTTCAAAGGGAATGTCTTTTGAGCGAAGCCAATTTTGAATATCTGCTTTTTTTGTAGCCATAATGGGAATTTTTTCCAATTTTCTGGAATGGTAAGGGGCATTGTCCATCACAATTATAGCATTTTTATCCAGTTTTGGTAAAATCTTTTGAAGCCAATTTTCAAATGACTTCCCATCCATCTCCTCATCATAGTCTCCACTCTTGCTTGACTCAAAAGCCCACAGTGCATCCGGAACAAAACCATTCTTACTTCCGATGTGACAGATTATAAATCGTTTACCTTTTCCTAAAAGTGATATTAAAGATAATAAATAAAAAATTTAAGTTTGTTAAAAGTTTATTTGAATTACCTGAGGGATTTCTTAAGCCGGTCGATAGCCCATCCAAAAATGCACGTCTTGCAGAAGTCAAAGAAGCATCCACCCAAACTTTTGGTTTTGTATGGCCAGCATTTATCCATGTTTCGTCTAAGTAATAAATGGTTCTATTTTCAGCTCTATATTTTCTTATCTTTTGCAAATAATTTCTCCGCGATAGCACAATTTCATTTTTGTCGAGTAGCAAACTGTTTGTTAATTGTAGGAATTTCATTGCGGAAAAAATACTGATGAACCATTCTTCTTATAGCTGACTTATCAAAATCATCTACAGCATCTATTGATTTTGAACGATTTTGGTTTGTTTTCGGTGCAGATAGTGAATGGGTACTTTTATATTCTTTAATGACATTGAAAACAGTTTTTGAACAAACTCCAACTTTATCTGCAAGCCTTTGTTGAATGTCCGTTAACGCTAAAGTAAGATTATCTTATAATTCACATTTGTATGTATTAACCATTATTTCTTTGGTTCTTATATCTACGTGATTTTTCTTAGCTCTATTCCTAGGAGGACTTAGCGTTAACAGTTCCTCATTTTCATTTGCCGACTCCGTATCAGACATATTAAATAAATGGATTTATTATACTTTTCTCAACTAAAATAACAAAATGGGCCTTTTCAATTTTACTTTTATAGTAGAGGATCCGATTTAAGGTTTACCTACATCGCTTTGTTAAATGTGGTATTTTTTACTTATGATTTTGAGCCTTGAAAATCGTCATCTATCGTTCTTCGTCTGTCAATTCTTGTTCGTCTGTCAATTCTTCCTTGTCTTCCAGTTTTAAATTATTTATAACTCGAACACGATCAACTTAAGAAAAATTACAAAACAAGTTTTTGTTTAAAATGATCCAAAAAATCTAAAACAATATCTGCCCGGGTTGATTTTTTTTAAGTATATAAAAAAGGTATTTTTTAACTCTTTTCGGCACATCGGATTGAAATTTGAACCACCAAATTTTTGCTACATGTTGTACAGTAGTCCACAAAATGAATCACTTATTAATCTATTTTTATCAAGTTACACCTATGCAAGTGGTTTGTATTACTTATTCCCTCTGTCCCTATTAAGTGTTATCTTTAATTGGTAAAATTCCCACGGTATAATTATCGGCCAAACGCGAATGGTTATCAGTTGTTTCTTGAAAAGTGAGGTCATTTTACTTTTTACGTGTGCAATTGAATCTTTCTATGCCCCAACGGTCCATTGTAAAAAATTTATAAAATCTCGTGCCACAAACAGTTTAAATTAATTATAGTCAGGACAAAATTATACTATATTAAGTATATTAAGTTACCGGTGTTTGTGATAAAAAATATTAAAGATACATTATTTTAACAAAAAAAAAGTATACTTGTTAATAACTTCAAAACTCAACAGTTTTCGAGATAATGGCATTTTACACGTCAACTACATAATTCAGATTTAACGCAATTACTCCAGGCAACGAAAGAAAATTAGACAAAAACATCAATACTTCTGAATTTTGGTGTAAAATGCCTTTAATAAAGTTAATAGTTCACGAAATATTAAATAAAATAAATATATCAGTTAATAGTAGGATTTGGCAAAATAGCAGAATAGTTGGATTTTACATCAAATATTTTACGTTTTGTATCAAATTAAAGTTGTAATCAAAATATTTTAATTACAAAATTAAGAATTAAGAATTACAAAAAATTAAGAAATAGTTAAACTAAATAACATTTAACTTTTTGTCGAAGTAAGTTCTTCATTTGTCAATACATTCCATAAAAGAACGTCTCAACTAAATTCTTAACTTTACTTTAACAATAAATTTGTTTATTAAAATTAAACTTTAACAATACATTTTATTTACAATAATTACAAAACACAAAAACGAATTAATTCATATATCAGAACCTTATATAGGAATAAATCCTATGAATATGAACAATAAACCTCTGACAGGCATAACCTAATAAAATATTTGACATTACATGGATGCGCGAGCATCGAAGACGAATTGTAACATGGTATGAATAGACGCTTGTTTACGTTGTTGTTCGGGTTGGATGGAATTGAACGCAGTTATATTTTGGTGTTGAAGTAAGTGTGTAGACACGTGTTGTACGATAGTATTTGAAGTAATGACATCGAGTAACAGGTCAGAAGCAGTCAGAAGAAGACTTTGTTATTGCATGTGCGGTAGCTGAAGAAGAACAGAATACGAATCGTAAAAGAAAACCTTGGATTCATGAGATAAATTTAAAAAGGGAAATTTACGGAGGGATAATTTAAAAAGGGATATTTACACATCAGTCACGTCTCGTCACAGTCCTGGCGCCGAACCGAACAATCCGTCATACAAAATATTCTTTAATATAAATATGGCGCCGGCATTCACATTCATCAGGCGACGAACAGTTTCCCAGCTGTCACATAGTTGATAATTCTGTGACCAAACAGGACCGGTTCGGCGCCGAGACTATGACGGGACTGATGTGTCTGAAGTGACCTTTAGAATCTAGACTCGATGCAAAAATGGTATGTATTTATAAAGTCAGTTGAAACATTTCTCTCCGACTTGATTTATAAGGGCAGTTCAATATTACATTTACCAGTAATCAAGTTAAAGTATAAATAACATGCGTCAATCTTTCAAATGTATTTGAACAATCCCCGTACTTCGTAGGAAATAGATAGAAGAAAGAGGGAATGAAAGATACATCCCATCAAATAAATATTGGACATTGATATGTCATCAAAATCACCAATATTTAACACGCTACTTGGAGGTCCCGTTCTAGCCGGTGGCGAAGGGTACAGATAAGAAACGCTGCCGATGCATGCCAGTGCTGTACAGCAAAAATGTTTATTATTTTACGAAGTATAATTAAATCATTATACTGCCAATATAGCCTATTGCCATTTAATTATAAATTATTTTTGGTGCTTAATATGACATGTTAAACATTTTTTTATACACTTATGTACTTTACGACAGCTTTAAGTAAATTAAAATTGTCCTTTTTCTGTTCTACATTAATATATATTTGATTATAAAATTAAATGATGCGCCCATGTCTGGTAATATGATATTATTCTTTTATTGTTGGTCGGCAAGCAGGTTTTTGGGTGTTTCAACTGCACAAAACAGGCGTAGTAGTACAACTGGGTAGTATCTTAACGTTTCCTAATTATATATTATTTATCTATGGTATCCTTAATTCTTAACAGTGATGACCAGGGACAGAGGGAAGAGGGAACATTGAACAGGACAGGGAGCACTGGTAGCAGGGATAGGCAGGGAGCATGACTGTGACTGTGACTTTAGCCATAACCACTCTTTATTTTTAAGATAAACATATTAAACCACATGATACTATGACTATAAGATAAGATATTGCGCATATTTTTGTGACGTCATTGGAGACTTGCACGTTCGAAATGTCAGTTTTTGTATATATCAATAAATAATCTTTAATAAATAGTTTGGAGATATCCTTATGTGTACGATTATTGTAATTATTAAACCTCTTAACTTATTTTCGTCCAGTAATTTCATCACAGAATGCATACAAATCTCATTTAACTTTAACAAGAATTCAAATTCTAGTCTCCAATGACGGCATGCGCGAACCCGACCGATTTTGAGCTACGGGAAGATCTTATCTTGTTATTTATAGTATCATGTTAAACCACAGTGGCATGATACTATGAATAACAAGATAGGATCTTCCCGTAGCTCAAAATTTGTCGGGTTCGCGCATGCCGTCATTGGAGACTAGAATTTGAATTCTTGTTAAAGTTAAATGAGATTTGTATGCATTCTGTGATGAAATTACTAGACGAAAATAAGTTAGGAGGTTTAATAATTACAATAATCGTACACATAAGGATATCTCCAAACTATTTATTAAAGATTATTTATTGATATATACAAAAACTGACATTTCGAACGTGCAAGTCTCCAATGACGCCACAAAAACATGCGCAATATCTTATCTTATAGTCATAGCACAGACACAGAATAATAAACAAACAGAAGGTCCACTCTCCACGGAAAATTAAGTACGCGCATCTCCTTCGCGCAGACGTTCCGCCATGTTTTACGAGGATTTTAAAGGGAACCAGTGTTGTTTTATGTGGTGTGCATGGAAAAAAAACCAGGTTTATTTGACTTACGGCAATCATAGACATATTATACAATTATATTAACAGTTTTAAATGTAATAACATAAATATAATATAATTAAACATAAATGTAAACAATTGCATAACCTCACAAATCATATGTTTGTGTCCTCCTAAAACATGGCGCGCGTGCTGAAAAACTTCAAAGGCGGCATCTGAGAGTGGCCCTTCTGATTGTTTATTATTCTGTGGCACAGAATAATAAACTATTCTGTGGTCATAGTATCATGCACATGCACAGTGGTATAAACAGAGATATGTAAGAGAGTATAAACAACAAAATATTTGTTACTTCTATTTATTATCTACTTTGATATTACTGAAACATATAAAAGCATTAAAGCATGTTGAATCAAACTGAAGTAAAACAAGAAATTGGTGAGACGAATTGCAAAGAAGAAATAGATAATGAAGTAGATGTTCTAGAGGATTCCTTTAAAATTGAAATTACGGAGGATCCTATCAGGGAAAGTACAAATGGTACATTTGATTATTTAGACGTTAAGAAATGTCCTATAAAAGCTGAAACAAAACAAGATGATGGTAAGTAAATAAAGAGTAATCATGTACATTTAAGCTCCTATGATATTGCAAACTAATAAAAATATTCCTGTTCATCCTTTAATACTAGTCATTTTTGAAAAGTATCAAGATAAAGATCTTAAATTTAAGGTGATAAGTAGTAAGAATATAAGTTAATTTAGTTCATGCCATCCCTATACATTAAATATTCTTGTTCCTATGCATATAAGTCTAACTCTGGCTATATTATAAAATATAAAGGATATTGGTGTACTTTCTGAAAAACACAATTATTTGACTTATACAATTGTTACTTATCACCCTATAAATATAACTTAAATTAAAAATTTGATATTAAGAAAGAAATCAATATATTTACAAGTAAAAATTATAGGGTAAGGCATTATTTTAAGTAGCTATATTGTAACATAAAATTCAAATATGGTTTGATTATTTCTCACATTTGTTACAAATTTAAAATTCATTCAGGGTCAATTATTGTAATCAAAACAAAGGAGCTTCTATGATATTTTCTATTGAAAGATTTGTATGGTACAAAATATAGTATCTACATTAAAAAAATATAAAACAATAATATATAACATAAAACATGACAACAAAACAACTACCTAATTATTGGTGCTTTTAATATGGTCTATTAATTTGCTTTTAAACATTTGTTTAGATTAATTACTATTTAACTGGAAATAAGCCACAATTAAATGTTAAAGTATGTTTATTGATGTTTCAATTTCCACTTCGGAAATCAGAATTCAGAAATCAGAAATTTCACTTCAGAACAATCTTTGTATAGATGAACAACTTTTAACTGTTTGAGGAAGCTTATTAAAAAGATCAAAACCCTTAAACAACAAAGAGTTTCTTGAAGCTGTCCTTTTTGTTTTGAAAATGTGTAAATTGCACATAGGTGCTGTTTCCACCAAGAATGATTCTCATTCCATGATTTTGTAATTTTTGCAACTGGGCCGATTGATTTAAATTAAAGAGAAAAATAACTAACGAACAAAAATGGAAGTGAGGTTGAATAATTGCATTAAAAACAGTAATTTTAGTTGAAGTTGACAAATTTTTAGATATTCTTGAAAAAATTAAAATGGTCATTAAAAGACAATAAATTATCAAATTGAAAACCAAGGTACTTAATTGTTGTGATGATTTCTATTTTGTCATTGTCAATTTGAAGATTAATAATATTAATATCAATATTTGAGTATTTATATTTAGTTGTTATTATCATAGTCGTTGCCTTTAACACATTTAACTTTAGTTTGTTGATCTTTCAATATTTATTAACAGACTGCAATGCTGAATTCATTTTAGATACAGCATTTTCTAAGTTTGTATCTAAAAAATGCAAGTAGGGTGTCTTCTTCTTCTTATGGTGCCTATCCGTTACGGATGTTGGACACTAACATGACTATTCTGACTTTGTTGACTGCTGCCCTGAAAAGTCCAGTAGTGGGATCTCACAAGTTTGATTGTCTTTTCCTATTCTAATTTCATGCCCTAAATAGATATAGCTAAAGACCTGATGTACTTCGTTCCCATCTACCCTCATAACATCACTTGGAACTAAATTGGTCATGTATTTTGTTTTTTCAAAGTTTATGTTCAGGCCTATTTGTTCTATTGCCTGTTTTAGTTCTTACATCATTTTGTGAGCTTCATTTAAACTCTCGGCTATAATGACAATATCATCTGCAAAGAGCAAGTGGCTTAAGTATTCATGATCAATATTTATTCCTCTTTTAGCCCAATCTAGTTTTTTAAAGGCATATTCCAGAGCTGCAGTGAATAGTTGGGGGGAGATGGTGTCGCCCTGTCTAATTCCTAGCGCAATTCTATATTTATCGGTAAAGTCATGGAGTTTAACAGATGCTGTTGCGTTGTTGTATATATGTTTTATCAAATTTGTATATCTATAGTCTACTCGGCTTTGTTCTAATGCTCCTAATACTGCCGGTAATTCCACGGTATCAAAAGCTTTCTTGAAGTCTATGAAAATCAACGTGAGTGGTTTATTATATTCAACACATTTTTCAATTAGTATTTTAAGTGCTTGTAGGTGGTCATTTGTTCCATAACCTTTCCTAAACCCAGCTTGCTCCTTAGACTGATAGAAATCTAATTTTCATTCTAAACGATTTGTGATGATCTTGGTAAACCATTTGTAGAGATGTGACAACAGACTTATCGGTCTATAATTCTCTAGGTCTGATATATCTCCTTTTTTGTGTGTTAGGATAGTAATTGCATTGTTCCATTTTGTAGGGACAATACCTTGGTTTAGACATAGGTTGAATACTTCAGTTACTACTTCCAGCAGTTTCTTGCCTCCTACTTTAACAGCTTCTATTACTATTTGGTCATCTCCCGGAGCCTTGTTGTTTTTCATTTCCTTTAGAGTTCGTTTCACTTCTTCTACCGTTATGGTAGGCAGAAGTTCGGATCCTTGGTTCATTACTCTGCGGTCTCTAATTTGTGTTTTGTCTTCTTCTGTTAACTGGCTTTTGTATAATTCTTCATAGAAGCTTTTTGCTATCTCTACTATTCTCTCTCTATTTGTTGTTATATTACCTTCCTTGTCTTTTAGTTTAACAATTTCCTTTTTACCATCATAAAGCTTTCTTCTGAGTATTTTCATATTTCCATTTTGCTCAATCACATTTTGTATTTTCTCAGTATTATACTTCCTCTGATCTTTACGAATTGCTTTTGAGATATCTCTGTTCAGATTTCTGAGTTCAGCTGAGTCGCCTTTCTGCTCTGATCTCTTGATTTTTCTTTCTTTAATGAGCTTTCTGGTGTTTTCGCTCAGTTTCTCTTCTTTTCCGGCTGGTCTAGCACAGTACTGTGTTTGTGCAGTCATTAACGCTTCTGTGATTGCATTATTTACGGTTTCAACATCTGTCGAAAGAGGGTGGTTTAAGGCCCGATTTATAGCTTTCACATATTCTTTTGTGTTTTCTGGTGTACTCCATTTTTTTCAATTCTCTTCTCTTTATTAATCTTGTTCTTTCATTTTTTAAGTTTAACTGTATTGTAGCTCTCACTGCTCGATGATCGCTACCAATGCCAAACTGATTTAATACTGTGACATCTTTGACATATCTTTTATGTGTTGTTATGAAGAAATCTATTTCATATTTTACGTTTCCATTTGGGCTTACCCAATTACCCATGTCCATCGTCTATGTGGCTTCTTTTGGAAAAAGCTCCCCCATAAGAAAAGTAAAATGACATTTTGTTTCCGATAATGCTGTTGTTAAATCTTCATAGAAGTTTTCGATTTCTTCTTCTTCATGTACTGATGTTGGAGCATAACATTGTACAACTTTCATTTTGTATCTATTGGGTGTTACGTCCGGTAAAATTTCAGATCCCCAATTGATTATCTTTGGTAATGATCCTCTCCGGTTACATTGCTGTTTTTTGTATAGTTGTCTATAAAAACTCTCTATCGTGTTCATAATTTGAACTCTATCCTCAATGATTTGCCCCTGTTCATTTCTTAATTTGTGGACGTTTTTTCTTCCAATGGACATGCTCTGTCTGAGTACTTTCAAGCTTTTGTTTTCTTCTATTACTTTAGTTATTTCCATTGTATTGTATCGTCTCAGATCTTTTCTAACTTCCTTTTTAATTTTCTTATTCAAAATTCTTAGTTCATTTTGGTTATGATCCTGATTTTCCCTAAGTTTTCTTCTTTCCTCTAGAAGATGTTTTGTTTTCAGGATGAGGACAGCATTTCTTTTCAGCTTCTTTCAATATTTGAGTAATATTATTGTTCATTTCATTGATGCTGATATTCTCTAAGTCGTGTGTATCCAAACTAGTCTTAATATTTTCTTCGTAAAGTGTTATATCTTCTGGGAACATCCACTTTCCACTTTTTTTTTGAGGATCATTTTTGTTCTTTCATCTTCAGTGTTAAAAGTGCTTTTTGCTCTAATTAGTCTATGGTCACTCCCCGTTGAAAATTTATTCAATACTGTTACATCCTGAATAATATCTTTCCGATTTGATATTATGAAATCAATCTCATTTTTTGTTCTTTGGTTCGGACTCTTCCATGTCCACTTACGTTAAGGTTTCTTTCCGAAGAATGAGTTCATCACAAAGAGATTTTCCTGATGTAAGAAGTCAAGACGCCTGTTACCTTGAAATCCAAAGTTTCCCATAGCAGATTCTGCATCATCTTGTTTGAATCCCAATTTGGCGTTAAAATCTCCAATTATGAATGTGTAATGTGTTTTTGAAGCTTGTATAGCTGCTCTGATATCTTCATAAAATCGATCAACTTCCTCATCCGGATGGCTCGTAGTTGGTGCGTAAGCCTGTATAATTTTAAGTTTGTATCTTGGGTTTAATTTAAAAATAAGATAACTGACTCTGGTACATATACTTTTTATTGTGATTGTGTTTGGTACCCATCTTTTATGTTAATTACTATTTAACTGGGAATAAGCCACAATTAAAGATAAAAATACGTTTATTGACGTTTCAATTTCCACTTCGGAAATCGTTCTCAAAATACAAACAGTAAATTAAACAAATTTTGTTTTTTGTTATATAGTGAAAAATTCTTCTAATAATTTAATTTTATCTGACTTATTTATATTGACAATTCAGACATACATTATGCATTTTAAAGTAGACGACTTTAAAATGATATTGCCAATACTGTTGAGTTGTGCTCCTAGAGCAGGCTAGAGCTGCTTTTAGAAGGATGTCCAAGGTGTTATGTAACAGAGACCTAAAATTGGCATTAAGGATCCGTCTACTTCGCTGCTACGTGTTCTCGGTCTTACTTTATGGTGTCGAGTCCTGGACTGTGAATAAAATCGATCTAAATCGCCTTGAGGATTTCGAAATGTGGTGCTATAGAAGCATTTTGAAAGTTTCCTGGGTGGAGAAGATTCGAAACTCCACAATACTAGAACGTCTCAGCAAGACTACTGAGATCATAAAAAGCATCAAACAGAGAAAGCTGGAGTATT